ATGAAGTTCTATAATTATGAACATAGAGTTCTGTAATTGTGATTTGTGAATATAGAGTTCAATAATTGTGATATATGGAGTTCAAAAATTATGAACATAGAGTTCTATAATTATGAACATAGAGTTCAGTAATTATGAACATAGACTTCTATAATTGTGAATATAGAGTTTGGGAAGAATATTGCCGAATATGAAGACAAACGCCGTTAACGGCGAATGAAAGTAATTTTTTTTTTTTAAAAAAAAATTGACATGGCGTCATTTTCTACCAAAACGACACCGTTTTAGAAGGCACATTATACCGTGCATCCTGGCCCAAAACGACGTCGTTTTGTACATTTCGCGTGTCTGCTGTTAATTTCTTAAAAAAAATCTCATGTTTTGAATGTACAGAATTGTATAATAGAATGCACAGAATTGTATAATCGAATGTACGGAATTTTATAACAGAATACACAATTTTTTTTTGAAAGGATAATACACATAATCTAACATAATACATAATACACAATACACATAAACTCTTAACTCTTTAAAAAAATTCTCATTTTTCAAATGTACAGAATTATATAATAGAATGTACAGAATTGTATAACGGAATGTACAAAATTTTATAACAGAATGTATAGAATTTTATAAACGCGTCAATTCCCCACATAACTTAATAAAACAACGTCATTTTGGAAGGCGCGGAATGCACATTGCTATGTGTGTCGTGATGTACGATATAACGACTAATTTTAGAACGGTGTCCACCTTTCACGGTTCTAAAGCATAATTTGCCCAATCGTTATACGGATGCACCATGCCAAAACGACGTCGTTTTATTAAAAAACGCGCGTCTCCCCTTTAAAAAAAATTCAGGTTCGATTCCCAGCAACAACATTATATTGTTCATTCATTCTGGAATTTTAGTTCATAGATTATGGAATTGTAGTTCATTGATTATGGAATTATAGTTCATCGATTATGGAATTGTAGTTCATCGATTCTGAAATTTTAGTTTATAGATTATGGAATTTTAGTTCATTCATTCTGGAATTTTTAGTTCATAGATTAGATTATGGAATTATAGTTCATCGGTTATGGAATTTTAGTTCATATGTTGTTGCTGGGAATCGAACCTAATTTTTTTTTTTTTTTAAGGGAAGACGCGCGTTTTATTAAAACGACGTCGTTTTTGTATCCGTATGCACAGCATAATTTGCCTAATTTGCCTCCTTTTGTGTACTCGCATTGCAGTTTTGGGCTTAACATTATAAATCATTCTCTATAAGGCCCATGCGCATTACCCAAACAGACCCAATGTACATTGTGAACCATGTTCAGTTTATATACTAGTTGTTAACATACAATGCCTCTTTAGTTATCAAATTATATACTTTCAATCAACCTATTATTTACGTTGATTTTATTTATTTATATATAATTCATTAACTGAAGATACATAAAATATTAATTTGTAGGTTCATAATTTGGCAAATTATTGTGTGGACCATGGTCCACACAATGTTATGTGGACCATAACAAAAAGTACATTTTTAATATATTAAATGTACATTATTTTTGTACATTATACAATATAACGTACACTCAATACAAAAATAATGTACATCCTCTGAATACAATGTACATTATTTTTATATTGAATGTACATTATTTTTGTATTGAATATACATTATTTTACAGTATACAAAATATGGTCCATACAACTTGTGTAGATCATGGTCCACACAATAATAATTGACATAATTTAGATCAAAGTTCGCAATTCATGTAATAGACCTTGGTTCACGATATAACTTCCACATATATATGGAACATTTTATTGAATTTTATAAATTATTCCTATTTTATTATTGAATCATGCTAGACTCACATCTATTTTTCACGGTATTTTTTATGGTTTAACTTGGAAATGTTTCTATCAATAAAAATAATTTGACTATTCAACCTTTTTTAATTCAACCTACGTGCATAACTACTAAACTCTTCATAATTACAGAATTTTATGTTCATAAATTTTAAACTTTATATTCATAATTATTAAACTATATATTCACAATTACAAAACTTCATGTTCATAATTATAAAACTCTATGTTCATAATTTTTAAACTCTAGAAGTCTTATGTTCATAATTACTGAACTCTATGTTCATAATTATAGAACTCTATGTTCATAAATTTTGAACTTCATATTCACAATTATTGAACACTATATTCACTACAGAACTCTATGTTCATAATTACAAAACCATATGTTCATAATTTTTGAACTCTAAAAGTCTATGTTCATAATTACTGAACTCGATATTCATGATTATAGAACTATATGTTCATAATTTTTGAACTTCATATTCACAATTATTGAACTCTATATTCACAATTACAGAACTCTATGTTCATAATTTTTGAATTCTATATTCATAATTCTCGAACTCTATATTCACAATGTCTCGCTGAATTGTTTTGACATTTTTTTTAATAAAAAATCTTATTGGTGGAGAAAAACGGTGCCATTGATGACACCATTACTCAAAAATTATCTAATGGCGTCATATTGGAACTGTGTCCAGATAGACACGGTTCCACAACGTAACAATGGGTGAATAAGGCTTTTCTTGAAAAGAAGAGTTTAAGAGTATAAATCCAATTGACCCAACTATTTAGAAAAAATAAATGATATAATAAAGGTAAAATTGAAAATTTTAAAAATATTAAAATCAAAATAATATAAACCATTAACTTCAACAAGCAATTGAACTATTTATATTAATTTTTTTTTAAATTTTTAGTTCTGGTTATAGATATAATTTTATTAGCTTTTATTAGATTATTATAGTATAACATAGATAGAATGTATTATGTATAATTTTTTTAAAAAAAAATAACTAAAAATTTAAAAGTATAATAAATTGTGAAGGAATAAAGGTCAAATAGGTCATTGAACTGCACAGAATAATGCAATTAGGCCACTAAACTAAAAAAATAACAATTGGGTCCCTAAATTAACCAATTTCTTGGAATTAAGCCAATTTACATGTTTTGCAGGTTAGTAACATGTCACCCAAAATTTAATTTTTTTTTTTTAAATTATTATCTAAAAATAATATTTATTATTATTATTATTTTTAAATAATGATTTTTAAAAAAATATTGTACATTTTGGGTGACATGTTACTAACCTGCAAAATCTGTAAATTAGACTAATTGAATGAAATTAATAAGTTTAGGAACTTAATTGTAATTTTGTTAAATTCAATTGCCTAATTGTATTACTTTGTGTAGTTCGGTGGTCTATTTGACCCTTCTTCCAGTTATGGACCAAACGTTAAATTAGCCAATGAAGCTTAGCGGCAATCGTTATGCTATGGACCCGTGTCCAGCATGCATGTTGGACACGGGTAACAGTGCCATTTATCTTCCACTTTTTTTTCTTTTTTTTTTTTCTTTTTTTTTTTTTTAATTTCAGACCGCTTCGTTATAAGAGTATATGTTCATAATTGTAAATTCATAATGTCAGAGCTCTATGTTCATAATTTCATAACTGTACATTCATATTTCCATAACTGTACATTCATAATTCCGTAACTGTACATTCATAATTCAATAACTGTAACTTCATAATTTTCGAAGCTCTATGTTCACAATTTTAGAGCTCTATGTTCACAATTTTAGAGCTCTATGTTCACAATTTTAGAGCTCTATGTTCATAATTTTATCACTATATGTTCATATTGTAAGTTCATAATGTCAGAGCTCTGTGTTCATAATTCCATAACTGTACATTCATAATTGCATAACTGTACATTCATAATTCCGTAACTGTACATTCATAATTCCGTAACTGTACATTCATAATTCAATAACTGTAAAACCATAATTTTCGAAGCTCTATGTTCAAAATTTTAGAGCTCTATGTTCATAATTTTATCACTATATGTTCATAATTGTAAGTTCATAATGTCAGAGCTTTGTGTTCATAATTTTATAACTTACATTCATAATTCCATAACTGTACATTCATAATCCCATAACTGTACATTCATAATGACACAAACGAATAACACTGTTAACGGCGAGACAAAATCAATTTTTTTTTTTTTTTTTAAAACTGGAATAACGCGTTTTCCATTAAAACGACGTCGTTTTGGACTCGTGTCCACAATGCATTGTGGACACGGGTCTAGGGCATAATTTGCGGCTTAGCGGGGTATTATGTGCATCCGTATGCACCATGCATGGTGCATACGGATGCAAAAACGACGTCGTTTTATTAAAAATGCGCGTCTTCCCTTAAAAAAAAAAAATTCAAGTTCGATTCCCAGCAACAACATATGAATTAAAATTCCAGAATCGATGAACTATAATTCCATAATCGATGAATTATAATTACATAATCTATGAACTAAAATTCCAGAATCTAATCTATGAACTAAAAATTCCAGAATGAATGAACTAAAATTCTAGAATCTATGAACTAAAATTTCAGAATCGATGAACTACAATTTCAAAATCGATGAACTATAATTCCAGAATCAATGAACTATAATTCCAGAATCAATGAACAACATAATGCTGTTGCTGGGAATTGAACCTGATTTTTTTTTTTTAAGGGGAAACGTGCATTTTTAATAAAACAATGTCATTTTTGCATCTGTATGCATCATGCATGGTGGCATACGGATGCCCAGCATAACTATTGTGTGAATAAGACTTTTCCTGAAAATAAAAAGAGTTTTCCTGAAAAAGAAGAATTCAAGAATATAAATCCAATTGGCCCAACGCCCATCTATCCATATCAGTTCCGCCACGTCATCAATAGATACAAACGTCCAAGCAAAAATCATAGTTTACGATGTCGTTTCGTGCCTGCAACAAAAGAGTAGCGGCGCAGGATAGAGGACAGCAATCCTAAAATGCGCGTCTGAGCTGGAAGATGTGCGATCTGAGTCGACGATCAGCCCCACCCAACCCAGAATTCCCGTCCGCAGTCCGAACCTCTTCCTCTCCTTTCATTTCATCCTCACATCACAATTCACACCCCACTTCTCGCACGCGCCACCAACCAACCCCACAGTCCGATTGAAGGCCCCGCCCGTTCGGGTTTCAGGAATCTCGAAGCTTTGGAGATGTTGAGTAGCGGAGGAGGTGGTGGGAGAATATTCTGGGTCGAGAGGGCAGAACAAAAAGTCAAGGGAATTGTGGTGTTATTCGCTTGGGTATCTATTCAAGAATCCCACTTGAAGAATTACACCAATCTCTACTCTTCTCTTGGCTGGAACTCTCTCGTCTGTTTCGCTGATTTCCTCAACCCGTAAGCTCTCTATATCTTCTCCATGTTTACACTTCGCCTACAACTATGTATGGTGGTTTTGTACTTGATTCTCTGTACTGTGCTATTCTTGAGCATCATAGTTTTTTACTTGGGCAAAAAATGAGAACTTGCTCATGGAAATCCAAGCTTTGGCTGAATAATTGATCAGTTTTCTGGGGTGGGGTTATTGCTAATTTACACAATTGTGTGTTCAGTTGATGAACTGGTTTTAGGGATATGGGGAAGAAAGAAATAAATCTGGAAGAAAATTCAATGTAAAGTGAGAATTGGGTTATTGCCCGTTGTCATTGTTTAGACCAAAATTTCAATACCACACACTCACTTTGACTATATATTAAAGGTTAATCCCATGGATTTTCTGTTTGGTTTCGTTTGTATAAGGTTGTGTGTTATCATCTCTTCCTTAAAATTTCATAGGTGGATTGTTTGTTTCTATAGTTGCATTAGTGGGAAAGACATGATTGATATAATGGCAGTGCAATGGCTTTGGAAGCTGCAGGAATTAGTCACTTCGGGGAAAGCTTATAAGTTTGTTAGTTTGATATTTCTGTACCATCTTATTGAGACTTAGTGGCTTTTGATGTATAAAATATGCTTCGGATAGAGACCTTTGTGATTTATTTGGGTTAGATTGATGTTGCGTGTTGAATGAGGAGTAATTATAAAAGTGTTGTGACCTCTTCTTTACTCTTTTGGATCCTTCTTGGTGTAAAAAGTTTTGAGCTTGTTGAACAATTTGTGCAGATACATCCATGAGAGGGCTACATCACTGGCATTTTCTCTTGCATGTGAACTTGTTGAGGTTTGGTTCTTTACTCTGTCACTTACACCATTATGTATGTATTCTCATGTTATTTCAGACTGAACCTACTATTGCTCTGGCTCTGTTATATGTGATAATTGTGTCGATACAAAAGTCAGTTAGAGTTGAAACACAACTTCTAATTATGCATTTCTTGTTATTTCCCTCTAGAAAATGCCAGCAAAGTTGGTTTGTGTTTATTTTCACTTAATGTTATCATTAGTTTTTAGTTTTAGTAGCATACCCAAAACTAGATTTACTGACTTATATCCTGATTTGCTTTCTGTTAGAATAAGCCCATACGGAGAACTGGAGAAGGCATAGAACATGATTATTACTGTCTCCTTATAAAAAATTCCAACCAAGTTGGTCTGAGTTATGTTTACTTATTAGTTTTGGCAGTATACTAGAATTAACTATTTATAGTGTGGGTGGTTTTTTGTCAGCCAAGGAAAAGGCTGAAGAGAACATGATTCATCATTTTTCTCTTTTTGAATTGCTGCGAAACGAAGAGCTCTCTTTTTTGTTCATCTTATTGGCCTAAATTTTGTCTGATGGCATTTTTATGATATTTAGGAGCTAAAATGTAGGCCATGTCCAGTAGTGCTTGCAGCTTTCTCTGGCGGTTCTAAAGCCTGCATGTACAAGTTTTTTCAGGTAAAACAGAAGCAGAATTCAACCAAACAGATTTTGCTTGTGTAAATAATGTTTAAGGAAGTCTAGTATTTAACTCATTACATCTGGTACAGATCATTGAAGGGGCATGCGAAGCACAGCTCAATCTAGTACGTATTGTTATCTGTGTGTTATTGGGATTGGGAATGCAACATCATATTCATATGTAAAGTTTCAATTTTTTTTAAAGGCCAACCATTGGCAATCCATTCTTATTGATTGACACCCGTTTGCATAGGAGGACAGCCGAATGATAACCAACTGCATCGCTGGTCAAATGTTTGATTCTGGTCCTGTTGATTTTACAGCCGATTTCGGTGCCCGATTTGCTGTGCCACCCACTTTTCTCAAAGTGCCTGGTTCTGCAAAGCTTGTTTCTTTGGTTGCAAGAGGTTTCACTTCTGGAATGGATGCTTTGTTCCTTACTAGATTTGGTTCCCAGAATGCCGAGTATTGGCAAACTCTTTACTCCACAGTTGTAAGTTACAAAATTTGGATGAAGTCTTTGGAAATTCTAACTGGTCACTTTCTTTTTATCAAAATTTAATTAATCCTTTTCTTGTTCTAGAGCTTTGAGGCCCCTTTCCTCATTTTGTGTTCTGAAAATGATGATCTTGCTCCATTTCAAATGGTGTGCGAATTTGCTCAGCGTTTGCAAGATACTGGAGGATCAGTTAGAATTGTAAAGTGGAAGAGCTCCCCTCATGTTGGTTAGTATTATATATATATATTTTGAGTGCTACTGACTCTGTTACAATGCAATATCTGTTCATAACTACTTTCTCAACCTACTGAAACACAGGGAGTCACTCCACTGAGGCTCGAACCCACAACCTCTCATATGAGAGTGCAACTTGGTGCCACTAGACCACAAGGTCTTGGCATATATATATGTATGTATATATACTAATAATACAACTTGCTAACCTTGTGATATTCACTTCAATGCTGTAAACCGTTTGGCTATGACTGTCGTCCTTGATAGTTTGTGCGATGTGTCATGCATCTGCTGCCTTATGCAGGTCATTTCAAGAGTGATCCTATCCAGTACAGAGCGGCTGTAACTGATTTGCTTGCATGTGCGGTCTCGGTGTTCAACCACAAAATTCAGAAACTAGGAGACCGAATGGAGGGCATACATGATGATGTATCTGACTTAATATGTGACCTCCAAAATGCAGCGGTGGACTCAAATGAAAGTCTTCGAAGAGTTGCACTTGGGCCGAATGATCATTTCTTCTTGCCAAGTTCAGCAGAGTATCGGAACAGTAGAGATTATGGGTGTCAGCAGGAGCAAAAAGAAAAAGAAAACATGACTCATAGGCCAAACCTGAGTATAAATGCACACAGCGTTCTTGGCCAAATCCTCTTTGATGCATGTGTCCCGAAGAATGTTGAAGGCTGGGATATTAAGTTTTCCAGTTCCTCAAAAGGCCATCCATTTACTTCTCGACGTAAACACTCACCACAAAACGCCAAGAAGGGCCTTATTCGCTCAAGGCTGTGAGCCCGGCCTGTTTGGAATACTATATATGCATGCCAAGATCAAATTGGCAGAAACTTCAAAAACCTATCGACTTTGCAATGGAAACCTCCCAGATGGCCGAGAGGCGAGAGAAATCATGTGAGAGGTGATTTTGACAGGCACCACTAACTAGTAACTACCATATCTGCCTTGACTTTGAGCTTCTGTGTATAGGGATTGAGAAGTGTGTATAAAGTGAGGTGTTTCTTGAATCTTGAAAGCTTCCTCTGTGATTTTGTAAGGTGACAGACAGCACAGCACATAGTTGATGGCTGGTAAATATGTGGGGTTAGGGAATTAGTAATGTGCTATGGGGTTCACTGTATTGTATAGTGTAATATCTATTCTCCCACTCCCAGGAATATGTCTAGTATGTCTGGAGATCAAGAAACAGGATGGTGTTGTACTGTACTCTAACATGTCTCTAATGCCTATTACAGTAGAATGTTAATATCTATCAAACAGATTTTTTTTTTTTTTTTTTTTTTTTAATAATAATTTTATTTTAATGGCTGAGGTGGTTTGCAATCATTGGAAAGTTGCAAAAGCTCTATGGGGGTGAGGGTCGTCCTATTATTTTTTTAATTGTTAAATAATTGTATAGTTTTATTTTGTAAAAGTGGGATATTTTCTAAAAGGAAATTGAAAATGCAAGGATGTTGGGAAAATTAATGAGTGAAGAACAAATAGGAGTAAGTGTTAAATTGGTCACCTAAGTTAGCTGTATAGTACAATTGGGTCCTTTAAGTGAAAAAAAGTTCAAATTCAGTCTCCTAAACCGGTAAAATTGTTTAATTAAGTCTAAATTGATTTGTTTATCAGGTTAAATCAATGCGATGTTGACAAATGTCATTTTTATTTTATTTTTTAAAACAAATGTTTTTATTTATTAAAAATTAAAAAAATGTTATTTATTATAAATAAATTAATTAATTAAAATTAAATTTTTAAAAAAAAAAAAAAAGAAAAAGAAGAAGCCACCAGCTGTCGCAGGACGGCCACGGTTGTCTAAGGAAGACGGCCATGGCCGACGAGGGCTACGACCATGGCAATGGCCGTCTTCTTGGCGTACGGGTCCACTGCCACCCAGGTCTCTTGCTCCACAATCAAATTCGCATCCAAGCAAATGGAGTAGCCATCCCACGCAGCTTTAATCCCTGGGAATCTCAGCGGGGCGCCTTCATGCTTGCAGATAGCGGCGTAGACGCAGTGAGTTCCCACGATGTTCATCATGCCTAAACGGAGAGAAGTCGTCTATGGTTCCTGGCCGGTGTACGGACCATGTTAATCCCTCATTCTTCACCTTGTCGAACAGAAGATCCTCGAGAACGTAGTAAAAGTTGGAGGCGTCGAGTCGCGAAAAATCCCCGTGATTCGGCGTGTCGTGGGAGAGTTTTCCAATGAAGAAGATAGCCACCGGCTGTTCGGCGCGAACAGCCAGTGGCTTCTTCTTCTTCTTCTTTTATTATTATTATTATTATTATTATTATTATTAATTAATTAATTAATTAATTTATAATAAATAATATTTTTTAATTTTTAATAAATAAAAAACATTTGTTTTAAAAAATAAAATAAAAATGACACGTGTCAACACCGCATTGATTTAACCTGATAAACAAGTCAATTTGGACTTAATTGAACATTTTTACCGGTTTAGAGGACTTGATTGTAGCTTTTTTCACTTAGGGGATCCAATTGCACTGTCCACATGACTTAGGGGCTAATTTGACACTTTTTCTGAACAAATATAATGATATCACGATATAACTCACCTTTTAAAAATGTGAGCACTACGAGTATAATTACTAAATAGATAAAAGTGAGATAGTATTGTAGGGATGTGGATAGTTTTAATGGTGAAGTGGTGAATACAAAAATGCTAAATTAGTTGTTTTTTTGTAGATATAATTTGTTCAAAATTGAAAGTACTAAAACAAGTGTAAAGCAAGAAGAAACAACTACCACACTGGTGAAAAAGTATATGAACAGAGGTTCATTGACTATTGATGTTTGTAAATTTTTATTCTCGATTTTTAATTTGACTATAAATGGTCACTTGACTTTTGATTTTGTTTCAAATTTAATCTTTTAGTTAAATATTAATTTAGTGAACATTCAATTTGAAAGTAATAATGTAAAAATTAGCTCATTGTTGAGATTGACAATCGGGTTCATAAACTTAAGGTTCATCCTGGGCCGAGCTGATTTGTGGACAAAAAAAATGACGGGTCTGGCTTAGTCCACACTACGAACATGGCCAGTATTCAATCGTTATACCGTGCACCAGGGCGCACATAACAATGTGCACCCCGCGCCTCCCAAAACGACGTCATTTTGTTAATTTCAGGTATAAAATTTTGTGCATTCTATTATATAATTCAGTACATTTTAAACATGAAAATTTTCAATTATAAAATTCTGTGTTTCCAGGTATAAAATTTCGTGTTTTCAGGTATAAAATTATGTGCATTCTATTATATAATTCTGTAAATTCGAAACATAGATTTTTTAAAAAAGAGTTAAGAGTTTATGTGTATTATGTTAAGAGTTTATGTATATTATGTATTATGTTAGATTATGTGTATTATCCTTTCAAAAAAAGATTATGTGTATTCAATTATAAAATTCTGTGTTTTCAAGTATAAAATTCTGTGTATTCTATTATACAATTCTGTACATTCGAAACATGAATTTTTTTTTCAGGAGTTAGCAGCAGACACACGAAAAGGTACAAAACGATGTCGTTTTAGATCAGTGCGCACAATGCATTGTGCGCCTTGGTGCATGGTATAATTTGCCGCCAATATTACTCCGAACCCTATATCAACCCCCATTTGGCCGCCCTAGCACGCTCGTTTTCCACCTTTACTTCACATTTAGTCCCTAAATAATGTCCTTTTCAAAACGCTCCTCGATGAACTTTGCTTTATTAAGAAAGAGGTATTATTGTTGTCATACCCCGCTACATTTATTGCCATTTCCAGAAAAGATTCTCAAAGTAGGAGCTTAAATTAATTCTCAATTGATACTCAATCTTGAAGAATTTTGTTTGTCGTGACCTATTCCAAGTTCCGTTTATATCTCCATATATTCCAGGTATTCATCTTCTCTTGACCATTTATATGGTTTCTTATAGTCATGGATTCTAGTAGTGGCTAAATGGATTAGCGATAGGGGTGAGTGTGAAGTGAATTGGAGCGAATTTTGAGTGAATTCGCATCCCATCCGCTAAAGCTGAATTCGAAAAATCTCATCCATATCTGCATCCGTTAAGGGTACGGACCCAATCCAATCTAATTCACTAACAGTGGATTCGACGGATTGGATGTGGATTGATAACATATTTTAAGTCTGACTTGAAACGATGTTTATTGAGCTTGTGATTGTGAGGTCGTGAAGAAGAACAAATCTGACTTAGTGGAGAAGAAGGTGAAAAGTCAAAATTCAAAAACGAGATTGATAAATAAAAACCTAATAAAACCGAAGTATGGAAAAATTAAAAATTAAATTTCAATTATAATTTTAGATTTAGGTTGCACCTGCACCATGATAGTTGGTACTGGGCTACTAGGTTTACATGTGTTTGTTCAGGACACCCCTGTAGAAAAACTATAATAGATAATATTTAGAAAATAAGTGTCACAACAGAATTACAGATAAATAATCATTACTTTAAGTCTTTCATATAATATTTTGTAACATAAATGTAATACTTTATATCAAAACTATAATATACAATTTACAGAAATATCAAATTCGATCTCCTAACCCATCTCACAGTGATTGAGACCTCTGAAGCTCTCTAAGGGCATTGTTAGTAATGAAAGTTCTAATTTTCCTGGGAATTTAAAAGGTGAGAAAATTATTCCACGTTTGATGTAATCATTGACTTAGAGAAGTTCAGGTCAATGGGAATCACATTCCATAATATCAAGGAAAGTAAATCTCACCTAAAGGAGGTAAGATTTTTTTTTTTTTTTCCGGGTAACTATAGGAATCTGTCAAATTTATTTAATTACGTGTTATCATTTTCAGCATCAGATTAAAAGTCTCTTATAAGTATAAAAATTTGTTTCTCTCGCCATTACACATTGTTTATAAAAAAGATTTACATCCAGGATTCCAGGTAAATAGTTAAAGTTTTTTTGTAATCTAATTTGCAATATGATTTATTATGTAACAAAGCAGTACGTGTGTATATATATGCAGTACTATATATATATATATATATATATATATATATATATATATATATATATATAGAAGAACGCTCATATGTGGTCATGTCATTAGGTGTGGTCGTGTGGTCGTATCTGTGTCGTTGAATCAGTTTAATCTAACGGCAGTGATAATTCTGAGGATTTTCGCGCGTTTTGGTAAGTGGGGGTGTTATGGTAATTACAGTGGCCATTTATAGCAGGCGGGTTCCAGAATACACCAATCGTGTTGACAACATACACCAATAGTGTAATAAAACACACCAGAGTGAACACACCAATGGTGTATTCCCGTGTTATGGTAATTACAATGGCCATTTATAGCGGCCGGGTTCCAGAATACACCAACAGTGTTGACAACATGCACCAATAGTGTAATAAAATACACAACAAAATCTTGATTAATATTCCGGTGTTTTATGACGAGTTTACCCTTGCAATTCGCTGGGTATGAGAATGTGCGCGAAAATACTAGAAAAATCTTGATTAATATGATTCATTGAATTTATCTAATCTAATGGCCTACCAGGACTATGTGGTCTAATGGTACCCGGGTTGGACTTCCATCTGGAAGATTATGAGTTCGAGCCTCAGTGGAGGCGTTATTGGTTCTTTGTGTTTCAATAGGAGGTGTTATTGGTTCTTTGTGTTTCAATAGGTTGAGAAAGTATATGAACAGATACTACAATGTAATTGAAAAAAAAAATCTAATCTAATGGCCTATAATTGACCATATGACCACACCTAACAACATGGCCACATGTGATCACTCCTCTATATGTATGTATATATAATATTTGATTTTAATTTTTGAGTACTTAATTAATTTGATGGACTAAATTTTTTGACATATGATTTATTAATTTACAAATAATTTATTAAACTCTCAATTATTAGTTATGTTTTTAAATATTTGTATATAGTAAGGATATACTAGATATTATAAAAATTTTCTTAGAAAATTTTGAACCAACTAAACATGTTAATTAATTTTATATGTAATTTAATTGTTATGTTTCTCGGTAATACTAAACATGTTAATTAATTTTTCTGTAAATTATTCCCATCAAAAGTATTATTTGAAAACATTTTTCTAAAAGAATTTCCTATCCCACCATTATTAACATCTTGGGTGCAGTGACTCAGGGTAACTCGAGACTAGGCAACGTTTACTGTACGTAATTATCACAGCATTAACAACATTAACAGTAATGAATGCTTAACAAACGAATACGGACAGATTTTTAAAAATCTTAACA